GGTAATTGGCATCGAATGACATGGACTAATACGTTCCAATTACTGATTTCATAATAATTATCCGCATTAGAGGTAGGTACTCAGATAAAATATAAACGATGAGCCCCATAATTTATTATTTATTTAATCTTAGGTTTTTCAGTTTCAATAAGCCTCCTCCGTTATAATTCACGTAAAAATGACTTTCATTAAATACGTTATTATAGTTGAGTTAAATATGTATATGGCTAGTGTTACATAACGGTAATAATATATTAACATAATGCACAGGTATAAATTGGAGACAATTCAGAAAAATAATAAAGGCGCTCGTCTAATTACAACGAGTGTAACATATTTATTTTAAACTCGTAATAATATCGTTAGCAATGCAAAACTCGATTTAATTATATTTTATTGAAAATACTAAAGATAAGGAACGTTTTCGTGTAATTTTGTGGTTCACGGTTCGAGACATTTTATAGAAAAACGGAATAGGTACTTTATTCTTGATGATTTGTAGGATTGTGAAACATTGATTTTTATATTATCGTCCTTACATGTTATTATGGCCCTTAATGTGTTACCATCCCTTTAACGATTGTATTTTTCATAATATTATACGTTAAATGTAACGATTATATTCGTATCAAACTAAACCTAAAATATTTTATGTAACTATTATTACAATTCAGTAATATTACTTTTGTGTATTAATTACCTACATTTAATAAAACGAACGTAGTAGATTTATTGTATGCATTTAAAAACGAATCACATATTTCTCGTATTTTAAATTCTAATCGAATACAAATTCGTTTTAATAAAATCAACACGCATGATAGTTAACACTGTCGCCCTCTAAATACAAATATTATTATACAAAACACAACGGACAAACACAAAAATATTATGAATACATTATTTCGAATCCGTTTCGAGTGTCCACCACGCAAAGGTAGTGCTCACCGCGACCAACGGTCTTAAATATTAATAGATTTGCAACATCATTGTTAATACATTATAATACAAAATATACGACGTAAGTAAAAATATAATACCATCAGTAAAGATGTCAAAACATCAATAGTAATATTGTCGGCAGCCAACATAGTAATAATATCATAATACATAGGTATAGATAAAATATACATGACGATTATACATCGTGCACAATGGCGGACTGAACATAAATTTTAAATGACGTATTTTCGAAATCATTAATCAAGTACTTATTACCACCATCACTCCCTGACTTTTTTACTTAAAATAATGTTATGATGTAAATAAAATGTGTCCGAAAGAGCCAACAGGTCGGGCCTAGCATGTTATTCTGCTCTATATAGTAACTAGATGGCACCACCCCCTTTGATAAGTTGACGCATCTGCGTCAAAATCGAGTCCTTCGGCCCACTACTGTTCGTATACCTAGGACTATTAGCTTAACCATTGCGAACAACGAAGTGATAAGGTTCCATTGCGACTTGCAATAGGCACCTATCCATAGTGTACATCGTTTCGGCGAGGAGTTTCATATTATTATAATAAGATATGCACCTGTGTAGCTGGTACCTACCTAGCTATACCACGACAGTACTCGGTATCGCTGTTAATCCGACGTCTTTAACTCGGTTTAATTTAACCGTTCGTGAGCGCGTGCGGTCGTGTTTGGCGGAGATAAAGATAATCGCAACCACTCCCCAAGCCCTCTCCACCGTTCATTGCGGAAAACCCACCGTCATCGACAGTTCTCATTGTTTCGGCGGCCACAAAACGACACCCGGGGGAGTGCACGCTCGCTCCGCGGTTGGCTCCGGTCCAGTCGACGACCGTTATCGTATTTGAATGATCACGCGTCTACCGTGTGTTGTGTGTGTGTGTGTGTGTGTGTGTGTGTGTGTGTGTGTGTGTGTGTGCGTGTGTGTTTATATACAGGGTGATTCGCCAAGCATGCTCACCACCCACTTCCCTACAGTAATACAGTCATTTAAAATCTCATTATTGGAATAATAATAATATCAGATTATTTTAGCATAATATTTGTACTAAGGTAGCTGTGTACTACTCAAGGAGTGTCTTGTGGAGTTACAAGCTTCTGTTTTTAAATAATTCCAGGGATCCTTTTTTTCTGTTAATTTTTCTAACCATTTCGAATTATCAAAATCAAAATTCGGACTATTAGTTTTTGTGTTATTTTACTTTGTGTAAGTACTAAGAATAACTCACAGGTCTGCGACAATGGGTTTGGAAGTATAAATGGGAACTATATGATAGCGATTTTAATATTTCGGCGATTAAAATTAATCTCTCAGCATTTATAATAAATATGTAAAAGTGGTCCATCTGCAATATACTGCAGTTACTAGAACTAGTATTGTACTAGTATTAAACACTAGGTTCAATATTACATCTATTTTAAATTTTTTTATAACCTTAATTGTTGAAATTTTGAATTAGATCCATCAGAGTTCTCAAAAAAATTATCTCTTCAATAATTAACATTTAACAATTAGAGGGGTGAGGGATCCCATCTGACAATCTTAAGTTTTTATCACTATACAGAATACTTCTCAAGTAGTACAAAAAAATATCAAGAATTGGAAATTATGTTATTAATTTAGTGTACAGAATTTGAACAAACTCATTCATTATTTAAGGAAAAAAATGATGGTGACTGGTGAGCATGCGTGGTGAATTACCCTGTACATATAATAATATGATACATTATTGTGTTTTTCTGAGCAAATGATCCCCACGTGCGTGGGGCGGAGACTGCAAGGAAATATTGTGTCAATGATACAGCATCGTCTACGTATACATATTATTACATATAGTACGACAGCGGAAAGGAATTGGTAAAATATAGTACGGACGAGGAGAAATAATTAAATCGATTCGTGCGCCAAACGATATTTCATTCGGTCGGACCTCGTCGCGACATTTTTATATTTATATTATTAGGTTTTTATTTTTTATTTTATCTTTCGTTTCCGAATAAATCGTACAGGCGATATTGTTGTCTCCTTTGCGTATATTTTACAAGCGTGTATATTAAAAACGATCATAATATAAATTGCAAATTTACGACGCTTCGTGGGTGACTTTCTTATAATGTTATTAAATAGAGGACGAAACATTTTACAACATTGTGTAAGATTTCTGCGAAATGTTGATTTGTTTTGTGAAATATGTGAGTTTTAATATCAAATAGCCACATCCGATTTCCATCTTGATATTTCTTTTACATCATTTAATCAACAACTTTGTTGAAACTTCTTTATTTATAGTAACTTTTACTATTTATTTTTTTATGTATTTTTTTATATTAAAATACTTAATAGTTAATACCACATGAATAGAAAAACAAATTATGAAATGCGAGATAATATTCGTATCTTATTAAGACGCTTATTAAGGAAAGTTTATTGTATCTTATTAAAAGATTTTTGATTAAAATTATATTTTACCACAAAACCACAACATATATTTAATATGTAGGACTATTATAATTAAGAAAAAAGGAATGTTTACACTGTCATTAATTTATTTGATTACTTCAACATGTAAAATTGTGTATCATGGTATCAGTTGTAGAATAATCGTTACATATTAATGTTAAGCTTAAGAAATAGTATAAATGTTTGAACATTAAATGTAATTTACTGTATCGATATAATTTGTTAACAACTTTTAAAATTTACTATTAAAACAAACCTATTACACAACAAATAATATTATACTTCAATGCATTGTTGTTTGAACGAGTAAAATCAATTTTAACATGAAAAATAATTCTCTATAATACTCCAAATATCTATTAATTAGGAATTTGTAGAAATCAATGGTTTCAACAGTAGTATAAAAGCTAATTACATTTTCTAACAATATTTGAAGTTAAAAAAATTCCATTTTAAGTTGAATGTTAAGGAAATTATAGTTAAGACAAAATTTGACATTTGTATACAAAATGGTAATAGTCAAAAAATTAAGCGCGACTCTAAAAATTAAAAAGGGGGATTCAAACAATTCACTTCAAGAGTACATAAAATCATAGGCATAAAGTTTAAGTTTGTATAGTGAATAATATATTCATCACAGGTACAATTTATACTCGTATGCATATTATAAAATAATAGTAATTATAATAATAACAAACTTGAAGAACAAAATTACCTTTTATTGCGTATATTATACCAATAACTAGCTGAATTACCCGGCCTCGCCCGTGTGTAGTTTTGTTTTTTTTCATATTTACAATATACAACTTTAACTTCTCGGAACAATTCTTATCTACACGACGGACAAAAAGGTTAGGTTGCAGGTAGCTGAAAACCCGCGGGCCGCTATGCCGCTATGAGCCCGTGCCGTGCAGCACAATACGTATTGGCGATGAATAATTATAATTGTTAATTACTCCACTAAAACGTAACATTTTTGAAAATCCTTTGCAATGCACAGTGAAAATATGAAAAGAACATCTATTCTAAATTTCAAGTTCGTACGTTGCGTTGTTTTTGAGTTACCTACAACGATCAGTGACTAAGTGGTATTTGCATTTTATATGTTTAGATTACGTTGGCAAGAGTGCAAATTATTTTAATACATCAGCTGCAGCAGGCTGCTCAGCTGCTGCCCCCGGCGCACTTCGATGCTTTCGTGCTCAACGAATTAGGCAGTTAACTCACTTTTAAAACTTTTTGTTTCAATTTGGTGTTACTGTTTTTCTGGATTTCTAATGAAACTGATAGTAGCATAAATCAACCAAAGACGTCATATACAATAAATATGCAGTTATTTCTGTCTTTGTTTGAAATCTAGAAAAACAGCAACAAAGAATTGTCTCATCCAACAGATTTACTTTAATAAACTGAAAATTTAGGTAATATATTTTGTCTTTGAAATGTTTGAAGTACCTAAGACCTAAGGAGGGGCTTCAACCCCAATAGCCCTCCTTTGTATCTGCTCCCGTAGTAAATATAATTTACAATAAATGTTATCTTAATCATTACTTTTATTTGTAGGAAAGAAACAAAGAAATGAGTTCATTAGTTGGCTGAATAAATTAGTGAAGAGATATCATCGAATCTAACTCTGAAATCAAAATGTCTGAGAAAAGCTACAGGTATTTAAATTAGCATCTTAATAAACGTAATTTCAATTATGAATTTCAATATATTAGGTAGGTATATGTATTTAATTTGAATGAACAATGAACATAGGAATATTTTCCGAATGTGTGGCATTGTGCGCACTAACTTCTAATATTTGAGAAATTATAACAATGTAATATAAGTACAATACCTAGGTATCTAAAAGCTAACTTATTAAATTTTAACATCTTTCAATATTATGGTATAACTCGTACACCTTATACATTCTACTGCTGTTGTTATATTATAGAAACTACAAGCAGAGTACCTAATAAATCAATGTACCTACACATAATTCTATTACCTCAGTATTTGAATCGGTATTTTAAATGAAACTCATTTCATTATATTTTGAACAAAACTTAAAATTTATGTTATCAATATTTCTCAAGTGTCTATATTAAAAAACTTTAAATAAAAACCAGGAAGTATTATTATTTAAAACTTTAACATGTAAAAATAATGGGCCCCTCTGAATTTTACTACATAAATATTCAAATGTTGTAATAACAATAAAAACTAATAATACTCTATACCATAATGGTTATGAAAAAACTGGTTTAAACCTAGTTATACATGGCGCGTGTTAAGTGGGACAAGGTATTATGAAAAGCTCATTTTGAAACCTTGTCATATCTTCGATACTATATTATTATAAGGCTACATAGACGCATAATACGCGTTTACTTATACAACATTTTATTTTATCGGACCCTGGTAAATTTAATTCACGGTACTTATTTATATTGTTTACTTGAAACAGTTATTCGAGTGTCTAAAAAAGTAAATTTGTATCATATCTACATAAGAAATAAAATAATTTTTAGGCAAGAAGAACATTGAATTTATTTGAACAAACGCGTTTTATAAAATATATTATACCTTTTCTATAATAATAATACACCTATAGCATTACTATGCAATCTGTGTTTGATTAATACGTCATTTTCAAATATGATACGTTTAAATGCACTTGGTATTAATAAGTATAGTATAAAGTTGAAAATATTGAATTTTATATAAATTCTAGATTTCAAATTTAATTAACTAAGTATTTACTTTAAATAAAAAAGCTTGCCATGTCAGAGATGGGGATGTAAACTTTCTTGATTTTTAATTTTTAGAAATTGATTAACTGTGTGTAATATGTATGTATTTTATTACAATATGATTAAACCAAAATTGTACTTTAAGGAAATTATTAATTGCAAATTCATTTATTGAGAAGATATTAGGCTATAGTAGAATATAGTAAGTAGAATATAATTGGTTTGAATTTAAGATGTATTAAAGTAATTTTTCTTGTTTTATTTATTAAATTACCTTTTTATAAAATTTGATCACGAATAATGTACCTAATATGAATATTTTCCGATATCACATCCAAGCGAATTTAACAAGTCGAAACCAGAAAAACGTCGGTATGAACAGCCCCTCAAAAAAAAAATCATTTTCATTTAGTGAGATAGATCTCCGAAATCGGAGAGCGAATTTTGTAGTTTGGGGTCTTGTTGGATTCACGCTGGCTAGGAGAAGTGCAGTGAAGATTTTCAAACTTTATCTTTAATACCTAGTTAATTCACTACAGCGAGATTTAAAAAAAATTAAAACACATTTTATTGGACTTTTTTTTATGTTTTTTAGCATTAAGGCTTTGTAGTGAATTAACGATTGAAGATAGAGTTCTGAAAATCTTCACTGGAATTTTCTTAGCCAATTTGCATCTAACAATCTCCCAAATAACAAAATCCGTTCTCCAGTTTTGGAAATCTACTCCTATAAATGAAAATCTAGCAAAAAACAACTCTTTTTTGAACTGTAAAAAATTAAATAATTTTTTTTTAAATTTAAAATTTAAAATTTAAAATTTTGTATCTAATTGATAATCCCTTTTTAATGAGCTATCAACCAACTTTCTAGCTACCATAGTTTAAGAGACAAGTTAAAAAGTATAAATTTTGGGACTGTTCACGACAACGTTTTTGTGGATTTAAATTGTTATACCTCTTGGGTGTGATATCAGATCTCTCTCATTAATATTTTATATTAAAGCTAGCTTAATTACCCACCAACTCATTATTACTGAGTTACATTTTTATTATTTTTCTATTTAACACAAATTCCTGAAGTCTTCAAAATTCAGACTTTTTCATTTAAATTACTTACCATACTTCCTTGATTAAAAATCAAGAAAGTAAATATCTTGAATACCAACAATTCATTTTTTAAAATTATAATTTAATTAATCCTAGTGACTTGGAAGAATAAATACGATAACATTTTTATTATTTTTATAACAAATAATAAAAGTTATCAAATCAAAACATTAGTTTTCAGATATATTTTGTATAATATATGGTAAACACATACAAATACATCTCATAGGTACTTACGTAAATAGTGTCATCGATATATTTGAAGCTATTATCAGTGAGTCAACTATACTTCTGAGTAAGTGGGTACTTAAGTTTGGACATGGAAAAATAGCAGCCGAAACGATAAATTTGCATATAAATTTAACACGTTTTCCAGAGGTGATAATTTAGAATTAGGGAAAACTCGAAGTCTTTATACCTAAAGTAATGAATCGCTTTCGGTAAATCTGACTTATTCAATTATTTGAATTAATTCAACTCTTGAAGAAAATATATTATTTGGACATACATTAGAAGCTAATTATTATTTTTAAATATGTACAGTTTGATTCATATATCCAAGCTCACCTCTATTTTCCTTTAATTATAAATTTATTCAAATACTGATTTTCAGAGTTTTAAAATATATATTTCAACACCATGTTTCAACAAAATTATACCTATTTAAATTTTTTATACCATTTAAATAGTGTTTTGTGCCGATAGAAACTGCTTTTATTCAAATTAGAACAACTCTTTTTACAGTAAATTGTTAAGCAGATGGTTTTTGAAAATGTTGGTGTATCTAAATCAGAATTTTAACAAGTAAATGTTGAGTTATTGAAATGTAAGTTATAAGAAAAAGTCAACTGGTTATTAATTTAAAGAAAAAAAAAAGACAATCCCCACTTGAAGAAATAAGTCGATAGCGACATAGTACTCCTTAAATGGTACAAAAATCTAAATATTTGAAAAAAAGGTCCTTAGGTAGGTATACGTCTAAATTCAGAATTTGAATAAATTTACTGTTACTGGAAAAATAGGGTTGGGCAAACTTGGTGAATCATCTTGTACGTTTTATTCTTTGAAACATAAATAAAGTCATAATTATTATCATAATAATTAAAATGTATAAACGATCATAGAGTTTAAAACTTACTGTAAATTCCGTCCACATTTAGTACTGTACTGGCGTGGTCAATTAAAAATATAAAATGTATATTATTTGTATCAAGTATAATCTCTAAAATCCAAATCTATTTATTGTAATATTTAAATATTGTAAGAGACAAAGAACTAGTTTTGAAATTATTATACATTTTTGGCCAGAACCTACCAATACGATAAATCAAATGTTTTTTGCAAACTATCATATAATTCAAAAATTTCACCGACGTAATAAACTTACGTGTGCAACAGTCAAATGGCGTTTCTAAAATAAAAATAATTGAAATTCAGTTGGCATCTTTAATTATTATTGAAATTCTCTGTATTTTGTTTAGATTAAATGATGTAACACTCATAAACATAAAAAAAAATAATATGCATGTTAATTTCAATATCTTGAAAATACTTCTCTATACTACTCATGATAATAAATAATACATATTTTAATTCTTTGTAATTATCATTTTTAAGTATTCGATGGCATCACTGATTTTATATTATATATTGTGCATTATTGAAATTAATTTGAAATTTAACACTGATTGGAGAATACATGTTTTGAATATTCAGCATGTATAAAAATAGGGTTCAACTACCAAGTTATTTGATCAAATGTTTAGTCTTAAGTATATTTGAAGATTTTAATATTTATATTCAATATAAAAATTATTATAGCTAAATTCAAAATATTTTAATAATCTTGATAAATATTTTGTACTATAATTTGTTGTTTTTCATATTTATTTATATTTAAAATTTAGTTTGATGACTGATATCCCTTTTACTATTGTTATAGTTAAATATTCAGTATTATGATTGTCAGCATGACAAGTTCTGAACAGAATCGTTTTTGGAATGAAATTATTGACCATTGAATGAATAGTGCTCAATCCTGTGTTTATGTTTTCGTGTCGTAAACAAAAGTTTTTAGGTTAGCCTCTATTTTATACTTAGTTAAGCGTTGCTGAGGCAGGGCAATTTCACTAATTTACCACCGTAGGATTTTTTCCTTTAGTCTTTGAGCCATGGTCTTAATGACCAATGCAATTATCACGTTGTGAAAAATGAAACAATTTCCTTTGTGTCACGTTTTATTGTTATAGGTATACATTATAATATGTTATATACATAATGCTAGAAAAATATCGTCCATTAGTAGGAATTTCCAATGAAATTAAAGAATTCGCTAGTACTTGGCAAAAAAAGAAAAGTAAATTTAAGAAACTTAAGCTTTGATAGCAAAATTCTTGGAGCAAACGAAACATATTAAATTATCAAAAATTATTAATATCTTTTGAACGGCATGGGAGGTATTATTAAAAGTTTAAAAAAAACAATAGGTCTAAGCGATTTAATAATTAAGGCATATTTAATCTAAATGTAATTGTTTAGTGTTACAATATTATAATATTATTAATTAAAAAAAAATTCAGCAGATTTTCTATACATTTTTCATTTTATTCAACATTATATGCAGAAGGTTTTTAGTTCATTGTAATTTTATATTATATATTCATGTAACTGAGAGTATTAAAAGTTAATTATTTGATGTGATTACACATTGTAATTTAATAATTTTGACAATTCTTAGCCTATAGGAATTCAATTGTATATTTAGCTATTAGTTGCACTTGAACATAGTGGGACCAAAATCACTAGCAATTTGTATT